CAATGTGTTTCGTCAATGTTAGTGAACATCCCATAGCCTGGATAAAAGGGAAGAGAAAGCACAAAAAAAAAAACCATCATTGTAACAAACCCCACCCTACTGGTAAATAAAATACACTTTCTACACATCATCAATCTGTATTGGTGGTTTTGCTCTTTTTTTTTTTTCCTGTCACTTCAAACTAAAGGATCAGGGGTGGGGGTGAGTCATAAAGTCCATTAATTTGCCAGTCAGTGAGTCAATCAGTCGAGGCATCAGGCAGCCAGCCAGTAAATGAAATAAAGGGGGTTAGCTTCTAAAGAAACTGTGGTGCTGAATCAGTAGAGGTCAATCATTCAAGAAAATTTGGTTTTATCAAAATGTTTCTAAAGCCCTTCATCTTTGGCTGTGATGAAGAGCTAGTGCTCAAAATGTCAGCTTTACAAACTCTATTCCGGAAGTGAGTGAGTCATCATGTTACTGATTCCAACAGCTAGAAACAGAAAAAGTAGTTAAAATGTGACTGAAACAAACAGGGTACATGTACAACCATATCTACCAGGATCAAAGATAGCTTCGACTATCATGTGAAAGAATTCTTTTTGCAGTCCTCCCATATCTAGCCCTTGTTCTCCTCCACCGACATACTTAATCTTCAGTGGTTTCTTCAAGTCAAATTCCTGCAGTTGGAGAAAAAATAAAATGGAACAGTGTATTAATGCATACAAAAGTTTCAGTGGTCTTAATAAATGAGGTGACCAAATGTTAGGGTTCCATTACTCCATTTATTTCATAAAAACACTACCACAAGAAAACAATTAAAGCAATTACCTTGAGGTTGATCTGATTTAATGTATCCTCAATCAAATTATCTCGGCGAACTTCTAGTACAAGAAATGGACACATAGCAGATTTGACAGCATCTTCCAACTCATTGGTTTTCTTTTGTGCCTCCTCCCACAGTCTCTGTGCTTGTTGCACACGGGCCTGATGGACAATTGCATTTTGATACTCCACTCTCATCTGTGACACAGCATCAATTTTCAGAATTCTCACCTGAATTATGAAAAAGCAGGACTTAATTAGTGCTTGTTCCCATGGAAACACAAAATCATATGACAAAAATAGGAGGATAAATCATGTGTACTGTATAGTACTATAATCATTTTCTGTACGGCAAAATGATTTTTGAACAAAGTAGGTTGAAACTATTAGGTATCAGGAAATATTCCAAACTTTCTGTTGTAACTGATCAATACATACAACAACCAAATTAAAAAACCTCCTTCCCCCCCTTAGATAAGTAAGTAAGTAAGCAAGTAAGTAAGTAAGTAAGCAAGTAAGCAAGTAAGTAAGTAAGTAAGTAAGCAAGCAAGTAAGTAAGTAAGTACTAAGTAAGTACCAAGTAAGTAAGTGAGTAAGTAAGTAAGTAAGTAAGAAGTAAATAATTAAGTAGAAGGTAAAGGGTTTATTAACAGTGTTTCCACTCTTCACCTGTCACTAACTAACTAAATACCTTATAGAATCAACTAAAACCTATTTAACATTTACAATCATAAAGTTAAAACAGCAAAACATTCCAGTCTGTATACACTTAAAATTAAACTAATTAAAAAATTACTAAAGGCATGCCTTCGCCCGGTTTTTTTCAAGTATTTAAAATAAACGCAATGTAAAAATATGCAAGTCATCACAGGTTTTCAATTCCTTTGGTAGATTATTAAATAAAACGGCCGAGGTGTCTCGAAAGGTCCCCTTTTCTAAAGGAACCTGTAGTCAAATACAGTCTGATGAGTGCAGCTCTCTATGTATAGGGACTTGTTGTAAGTTCAGATATGTTGGCCACTGTTTAAAATAAAGATAAACTTCAGGTTAAAAAGAATTTGGCACAGTTTGATCCATATGTTGTTTGGGCATTGTACCTACATCGAAGATGTATAAAATAATTTGACCTGAAACACATCTGACCCTTTACACCCAAACATTAGCATTCACTTTCTCCATACTGTCCTCTTTACAATTCCTGTGGTACTGGACAAGGAGAATTTGTCTGACAATCAAGAGCTTTTTGAGTTTGTGATCATTTCCTTTATTCTCCTGACCTTAACACTTGATCCAGGGGTGAAACCATTGGGAGAATCTAGATGCTGATCACATTTATTATAACCTGATGTGTTGTGTCACTTATAATTTACTAACAGATCATGCTTACACTATCATGTCACTGGGTTTCAAGTTACCTTTGAAGTTGGGTCAAGTAGAAATGGAAAATCAAGGATAGATAATTTTTGACCACTGTGCAATCTGGAAAAGAAAAAATAACAGAATTTTCCATGATTATTATATATCACTTTCTTATGTCAGTCAGTTATACTACATAAACATTCTAATACTGTATGAATCAATTAAGAATTTTATTTTCATCCTATAACTTCCATGAGTGACCAAGACAATTTCTCCTTTGAATATCAATATAAAATCCAAGAGGCAAGTGATGAGAATAAAGAAAAATATAAAATAGGAGAATCACAACAAGTTGATCCAATACCAAAATCTCTAGACTTATATCATAAGAATTGAATGACAGACAGTTAGGAGAATTAGTAATGAGATTGTGGGAGTGAAAGGGTTAAAAAAGCAGCAATTGCATCACACTTAGCAAGTACCTATTAGATTCCTGCAGAGTTCTCCAGTGCTCATATTCTTTCTTGAAATCCATTTTCAATGAGAGCTCTTCATTGTAAAAGTCAGACAGAGGGACAAATTTCTCTTTTCTTTTCTTGTTGAGTTGATAGCAGGTGTCATAGAGTATGGCTAAAGTTTTACAAGCTTCTAGCAGGCGTGGCTTGCTACACTGACCCAGTGACACAAGGCTGCTAAAATATGCTTGGAAAACCTGATGGTCGGGGAAATAATATGTTAATGATTTAATACTGAAAGAGTATCAATTACCAATTTAATACTGTCAAAAAAAAAAAAAAGACAACACAGAACTGAGCTGAATTGTAAAGGGCAGATAACCTGAGCAAGTATTTCTTGCTATTGCCACAGCAAAATAAAAATTGTCTCTGAGAGGTTCAACTTATTACATGTATATCCCTATTAATGATCCAGCAAAAAGAGACAAGTAATATCTCTAATACATCCTACATGTACGCATATTATTGTAATTCTCAGAGCTACAGCCAAAACAAAAACCTCTTTGCTCAACATACCTGAAGAAGGTGCTTGAAGGAATCCATATCATAATAGGATAAAATCTTGATCAAAGCTTTCCTTGAATCAACTGGTAGATTACTTAGCACCAAGCACATTTTCCTCAAGAGTGCTTGAGAGTCTTGTACAAGTGGATTCTCCATCAAAATGACCAGCTGTGCAACTTCGTCCGAGTTTATAACCAAAGTGTTCAGTTTTGTGAGGTGAATCTCTAAGGCATTCAAAAATGGCTGAATAAATGTATGCTGAGGCTCTAAACTTAAAAGGAGTTTGTATGCTTCTCTTACAGCAGGGACATCCAGAGAATCATGATGTTCCCCTTTGGCAGTCCTAAAACTATCATTCAGAGCTTTGGATGAAGTAAACACTGTCCTGATAGTGTTTAAGAGAAAAGCTGCATCTTTGCATTGATTGTAGTTTTCAGCCGAGGATTCCAACATTGGTAGTGTTAGATGAGTTAACGAGAACTCCTGAATGTGACCAGATGACATTTCAAGGGCACACTCTTTTTCAAACTCTTCTAAGTCTATGACTTCATTTAGTGAGCTATTTGAGCTGAACAATTCTGGTGGCATTCCAGGAAGGGCATGATCAGACATTAGATTACCTGACATATTAACTTTGGAAAATTCTGTGTCAAGATTAAAAACATGTCTTTTTGGTTCCTCTTTGACTTCAACTGTTTGCAAATGAGTTACTTTCTTACTAACTTCCTCAGAAACTAGAGATTTACCACCAGAAGCAACAGGTGTTTCCTTGTCCACAACACTGTCCTTAACTTTATTCCTAGAACTTGATACTTGATTTTCCCCAAGCCTCTTTGATTCATTTACATTGGTCGAAAAGTTCGAGCTTTTCTCAGAATTTCTCCTCTGCGAAAATGGTTGGAAAAGTGTTTGGAACGGGGTGGTTGAAAATAAACAGTGAAGAAAAGGCCTGGGTTTGTTTGCTTCCCCTTCGAACAGCTTGGCCGGCAAAGGTCCTGTCTTTTGGTTACTGGGAGTACAAATGTATTGTTTGTTTCTTGTGGCTAATTCTATACTCATGATACCAGCAACATCAGGGGCGAGCTTGACTCCCCCTTTGTTGGAGAAACAAAACTTGTTTTGACAGCTCTCGTCTCCACAGCCTTTCGTGAGCTGTCGAAAATAACATTTCACCAGCTCTTCAAAATGGCTCTTGGCGTCGGCGTAGGACGAGTTCGGTTGATCATAGCTTCGCTGCGGCATTGCTTCCTTCAGAGAAAGATTGGAGTCTGAAATAGCGGCCAGATTACTGGCACTCAAAGTCTTTGCGCTTGCTTTCAGTGACTGTACATTAAGTTGCGCCAAACTGGAAAATCTTCGCGAGCTGTCCAAGTTTAAGCTTGCCAGTGATCCGCTGAGAACATCTTTTCGAAGCTTTGGTTGGCTAGCATGTTTTTTCAGCTTGTTGAACTTAGTTATGGAGTCCCCAGACTGCAGAGAATGTCTTTTTGAATGTGCCATTGGAATTTTCGGAGGCCTACCTGAGACTACTGCGTGACCGCCCAAAACTTCGTCCATTTCAAGGCTGTGCACCTCGTTTTCCTCCACGAAAAAACAAAAGGAAATTAACCTAAAATCAAAAACATGAAAAAGGTCGGAGTCTTTTGAACGTAGCCTTCTAATTGTAGATTTTTCCACTTTCGAAGACGTTTTAACGTTAGTCATCTGTCAGTAATTCCAGAACAAATACGCCGCCATTTCGTTACCGTGACGACTGTAACAATGGTCAGAGGCTTCCCTCGGAGTATGGTATCCAAATATGGTAGCCGATGCCTTGGCGATTTTACTTCCTCTCAGTAAATATGGCGAAGGTGGTAAGTTCATAGAATAGAGTAGTTTTTATCATATAGCGCTACTCAACAGATTCTAAACCAGAAATCGTACGTTGATGAGTGTTCTTAAATGAGGTTTTTTGCAAGAAATCTGGTTTTAAAGTCAAAATGTTTACAGAGTGGCAAGATTTCTACAAATTATGACATAAACATTTACTAGTTTTCTGCGAAAAATCTCTTTAAATGTAACTGAGGTTATTTTGCGTTTTTGGAATTTGGAATTTACCTTGTTCCAAATTTATATTTAATTTATCTGTGTTCATCCCATGGTTCTACTTCTAAATAAAACACATATCTGATGGGTTTTGAGCTGGAGAATTGAAATTAATTTCCGGAAGTTGAATTAGGGTCTAAGTGATTCGGTCTTAAATATGGAAATATTTGCTTTGATGTGGCAAGATGTGTAAGGTTTGTCTATTAGGGAATATTTAAACTAACATCTGAGGGCTACAGCTTTTGTAACGCCTCATGTTTTGCTATCATACTAAATATCTCATTTGACGCAATAAAACATATTAAGAAGATTATTTTACAGCAATCGAGGGCTCTTATCGTTTAGTTGTTTTTCCATGAACTTTGGACCTCCCCCTAATGTCCTGTTTCGTTCGTCCAAATGATTTGTTTCTTTTTAATATATATTTTTTATTTTTCTCAGAATGAGGAAGACAACCTTCTCATGTTTGACAAACAACTGTTAAAAGGGATCGACCTCAGTAAAGGAGAGTGTAGATTGCATGAATGCGGTTTATCAGTGGAAAATCCTGGTGACAATTTGATTTTGAGACCTTTAAGTGCAGACGATTATGATAAAGGTAAACTGAATAAATGAAATCAAAAGAGGGGGACCTGATCCTCTTTCACACAATTTTTTAGAAAAATTCATCGGCATAATTGCATTTTGAACAGTATTCCACATGTCACACATTTTAAAGGGACAACTTTAAATCTCACCTGATGTTGGTTTTGGGCTTTATTTTGCATTACATTAAAACTCTTTGCTGCCCTCTCAATAGCTGTGGACATCAGCAATATTTTCACATAGACAAAGTTGTTGATACTGCACACTAGAAGCTTTGGTAGATGAGGGGAGCTGCATCATTTTCTCCTCTGTACAAAACATCAGACAAACGAATAAAGGAGTGTATCAGTTAACTTTTTCTTTTAACTCTCTAACTCCTAAGATCTGATCACTAATTGTCCTCTCTCGCTGCTACACATTTCCTTCTGAATAAGTTTTGAGAATGTGGTGTTAAGATCAAGACAACAACTTGTACCTAGGAAGTTTGAGTATTCTTATTACCTGTTTGCTGGATAATGAATGGATATCACAGAGAAGCTACATGACAATTACTTCTGGGATATAAGGCTTAATTACCTAGGTATTAACCTTTAAGAGTGTATTTAAGACTTGTGTTTTGAAAACCTAAACTAAAAACACTCTTTTCCACCAGGTTTCTTGCAACTTCTAGGGCAGCTTACTAAGGTTGGAGAAGTGACCAAAGAAAAGTATTTAGGTGAGTGTGATTGACTCACAAGCATTGTCTTAACCCTTTCACTCCAAAGATCTGATTAGAAATTCTCTTTACTGTCTATCATACAAATTTTATGATGTTGGTTTGGAGATTTTGGTACAGTATCAACTAAAACTTCCTTAATTGGTAACTTTCTATATTCTCATCACTTGTCTGTTTGATATTGTATTGATATTGTAAGGAGAAATTCTGTCTTGTTCACTCATAGGAGTGAAAGGGTTATAGACATACTGATAATGATTTGATCTGATGGAAGGTTGTTCTTCTCCAGTATGTGTCTCTTTTCTGATTGGATTTAAATCTTGTTGACAGAAATATATAAATTAGGTAACTGCTGAAATAAAAATATATCTAGCATTTAATCAATCAATTTTGAATATATGAAAATCATATACTGGTATGTGTGCTGTGGTTTCATGAAATGTATGAAAGTGATCCTGCATGTCTAGCATTATTACCAGCCTAAAATTTTTTATTATACTGTTTCCTGTTATGGTGTTAAAGAATTGAATCAGTTAGTTGTTAATGAAACAGGGTTATGTAAGCACAGTTATATAATTCCCAGAGGGGATGTAAAAGGTATATGTAGCATGCATTCCTGTTTTGTTTATTACTGTTTGGTAGTTTTACTATAATGCCACTTTCGAGTGGCATTAAAGTTTCTTTCGATCGGCCATTTTAATCCATGAGTGATTTCTTTGCATTGGACACAACAGTTTCTAAAACAGATACTCTACAGTCAAGCACTCCAGGTAGTTTTAGTTCGACTGGTTGGCAGGTTGGCTGAGAGAGTCTGTTCATTACTCAACATGAAAGTTGGTTATTCCATCAGTTATCAGTCTTTCTATCAGCCAGTGAGCAACTCTAATATTCAAGCAACCAGTGAGTCAGTTAGCCTGCTTTTCATTGAGGAAGGTAGTTAGCAAGTCTTTCAGCCAGACAGCCAGTCAGTCAGTCAGTCATTTTGTCAGTCAGACAGTTTGTCAGTCAGTTGACCAATCAACCAGTCAATAAATTGATAGGTTGGTTGGCCAATCAGTCAGTCAGCCAACCATATAGCTAGAGAGCCAGTCAGTCTGTCAGCCAGTCTGTCCACCAGTCATTCAGTGAGTCAGTGAGTCAGGCAGTCAGTCAGTGAGTCATTCAGTCAGTCAGCATTCAATCAGTAATTCAGGCAGTTCCAATGCATTTTCAAATCTTCAACCGTAGTTCAGCTCTCAATAAACATTCAATAAACATTGACTACCCTTTTTTTCAATCTCTCCTTAGAGCGTTTCCATGCTATGCAGTCCTGTCCTAGTACATATTATCTTATTGTAATAGAAGATGTAGAACTGGCAAAACTAGTGGCTTGTGGAACACTGGTTGTAGAACAGAAATTCATCCATGACATAGCTGTGGTATGTACCCATTCCCAAGTCAAGCTAGTCTTGTTTAGTCCCTCCTAAATTTTTTTCTCTTTTGTATTTGTCATAAGAGGTAATTACAAGAGGTTTTTTTAAAGGAAAAATAAGAGTTATAGTTGGTAGGTGTGTACAAGGCAGCAATAGTTCCTGTGGTGGTATTAAGAGAAGAAAGTCTTGTACAATGTTGCTAAAATCAAGGTCAATAGTCCTCGCCTTCTGTGAGGTCATTTGGAGGGTAAAGGTAACAAATATGGATCCAAATAAAGTGCTCTCCAAATTCTGCCATGAGGCTATCCTCAGAGACCCAAGGGCAGTTAATCAGGGTGAGCCAAAAAGAAAATCACTGCAAGGATAGTTTTTTTGTTGGATGAATTTCATACAATCTTTTGCAATCCTTCAGGAAAAATATCTCCTTTAAGAAAATTATTTTAACAAAGAACCAATGTGGGCTTAATACCTACAGTTGTCAAGCATTTCCCCTTTCTTAGCTCACAGTGCATTTCTGTTGTAAATTTCAGAGAGGCAGAATTGAGGACATAGTTGTTGACAACAGTTGCAGGGGCAAAAAAATTGGAAAACTGTAAGTATAACATTGGGTTTTTTAGGGACCTGAGGCCCATCTCTCTAAGGTCCTGGTAACTTAAGGAGCTTGTATTACAATGTAAAGCTGTTTTGGTTACATTCAAGGTGGGGGTTTCAAATTGTTTTTAAAATAGACCATAAAACTATCAGCTAAAGGGAAAAAAAAAAGCTGTTGCAGCATGTGTAACCTTGGACACCCTAACATCAAACTGCATATTCTCCACACTGTTCTCTATATGTTTCCTATATCAGTGGCAAGGAGATTGTATTAAACCATCAAGAGCTTCTGTGGTTAGGGATCATTTCCTTTATTCTTGTGATCTTCATGTGACTCAGGGGTGATATCGTAATGAGAAATTAGTTGTTGGTCACTCTTATGGGTCAAAGGTTTAACAAAGGTTAACCAACACTCGCAGTGTTAAAGTAAATGAGGAGAATATGCGGCCTTTGCTTTGACATCTGTAAATGTTTAGACATTCAAGGATGACAAATCTGTAGGCCCCACCTCCTTCATATTGTCTGTACTGACCTTGCAAATGGTAGGGAGCATTGCTCCCAGTGATGTGGTTCTTGTCGTCATCCAAAATTGGGGGCACTCCCAAGTAATTGTTAACTGTTTAATGCAGTATGGCTAAAGTCTCCTGCAAATTGTTGGAAACTAACTTAGAGCACCCTTCTAGGAGGAGAGTTAATAAAACTACTGACTGTATAATTATTCCCAGATACCCTACTTAAAAGGGTATTCCCAAGAATCCTAAACTTGTTTGGGTTTTTGTCCTTCAGGATCGTTGAGACACTGATTTTACTCGGCAAGAAACTAGGATGTTACAAGATCAGTCTGGAGTGTAAAGATCCCTTGTTACCTTTCTACACACAATTTGGTCTCAAGCATGAAGACAAACAGAATTATCTTTGTAAAAGATTCTTTCACTGACAACAGAATATCACATCATGGCTTGTTAATTTATGTTTATTAGATATCATATATTTCTTTAATTGTTTCCAATCCAAAGTAATTATAAGTTACTTGTGATCAATAAGATCCAAAAACTATTTCTATCAAGTAGATATTACTGTACAAGTTTAAGAGTGAGTGTTGTAAAACCTGGCAATCCAAACGAGTCAGATTAGTCAATCAGAACAGTGGCAAATGTCACAATGACAAATAAGGACTACTGGTTAATGAAGAGGGAAAAAAGTGGCTGTAGGGTGGGAAATGTGAGTGAAAAAGGTGCATTTAATTTTATTTTTAAACATTTTTTTTTTGCGGTGAAGCAAAAGTAAATTCAAGGTCAGATTAGGTTGGACACTCAATTGTAAAAGTCTGTTCCTCAAGGGTTGGGTGACAGAGTCATATGGTGTGTAAAGTTGTATAATTCCAATGTTCCCACCAATAACGTAGCTCCATTTTCTGCCTTTAAAAGCACACACAACCCACAATTCCTCTATTCGCTCCGACGAAGGGCTAACGCTCGAAACGTCAGCTTTTGTAATCGTTACGGTGGCCAATTTACCATTTCAACTTTGTTGATATATCCAAATTATTTTGATTACAACACACGTGGTGTATTTTTGAACAAAGGATATACAATCGGTGAATGTTTCCTTTGATTGGTTACAGTTACTAATGATGACAGATTCGATGCCCATCCCTTTCCGGTGGACTAAACAACGAAATTTTAAACGCGTTAAAGAGGATTATGTAAACACACGATTTCCGATATCGTCTTCTAGATGCCAACCAAAAATAACTATTGATAATATAGAGCAAAAAGATTATATTAAACACCTTGGGTCTATGTTGACAAGCATCTTGACTGGCAGCCTCAAATACAACATATAAACAATAAGATAATAAAAAATATTGGAATACTTACAAAACCAAGATATCACTTGAATCTCAGAATACTCAAACAAATATACTATGCTTTAATCTATCCATATCTAAGTTATGGTATAATAGTATGGGGCTGTGCTTATAAAGCTAAGGCTGATAGTTTCTAAAGAAACTGTTTGGGGTTGCGTAGGAGCGAATGACGAAGGGCTAACGCTCGAAACGTCAGCTTTTATAATCGTAACGGTGGCCAATTTACCATTTCAACTTTGTTGATATATTCTTATAAAACTAAACGGAATTACCTCCAAGTTAATCAGAACAAATGCCTCCGAAGAATCTTCTTTGCACATACTAGGGAGTGTCCTGATCCATACTATAAACTNTAACCGCAGTTCAAAATATATGAACTTCATATATTCATCGTATCTGATTTATCATCACGGGTTTATTACGAATCAACTTAACGGCCTGCTCCCAGTTGGCTTGTTAGCTCAATTGGTAGAGCGCTGCACTAGTATCGCAGAGGTCAGTGGTTCGAATCCCGTACAGGCCTGATTCTTTTCAGGTCTGATTTTCGCTATTGCATAAATAGCACTCTCTACTGCGAGGATCGTGCATCATACGTATCTATAACCGCAGTTCAAAATATATGAACTTCATATATTCATCGTATCTGATTTATCATCACGGGTTTATTACGAATCAACTTAACGGCCTGCTCCCAGTTGGCTTGTTAGCTCAATTGGTAGAGCGCTGCACTAGTATCGCAGAGGTCAGTGGTTCGAATCCCGTACAGGCCTGATTTTTTTCAGGTCTGATTTTCGCTATTGCATAAATAGCGCTCTCTACTGCGAGGATCGTGCATCATACGTATCTATAACCGCAGTTCAAAATATATGAACTTCATATATTCATCGTATCTGATTTATCATCACGGGTTTATTACGAATCAACTTAACGGCCTGCTCCCAGTTGGCTTGTTAGCTCAATTGGTAGAGCGCTGCACTAGTATCGCAGAGGTCAGTGGTTCGAATCCCGTACAGGCCTGATTTTTTTCAGGTCTGATTTTCGCTATTGCATAAATAGCGCTCTCTACTGCGAGGATCGTGCATCATACGTATCTCTAACCGCAGTTCAAAATATATGAACTTCATATATTCATCGTATCTGATTTATCATCACGGGTTTATTACGAATCAACTTAACGGCCTGCTCCCAGTTGGCTTGTTAGCTCAATTGGTAGAGCGCTGCACTAGTATCGCAGAGGTCAGTGGTTCGAATCCCGTACAGGCCTGATTTTTTTCAGGTCTGATTTTCGCTATTGCATAAATAGCGCTCTCTACTGCGAGGATCGTGCATCATACGTATCTATAACCGCAGTTCAAAATATATGAACTTCATATATTCATCGTATCTGATTTATCATCACGGGTTTATTACGAATCAACTTAACGGCCTGCTCCCAGTTGGCTTGTTAGCTCAATTGGTAGAGCGCTGCACTAGTATCGCAGAGGTCAGTGGTTCGAATCCCGTACAGGCCTGATTTTTTTCAGGTCTGATTTTCGCTATTGCATAAATAGCGCTCTCTACTGCGAGGATCGTGCATCATACGTATCTATAACCGCAGTTCAAAATATATGAACTTCATATATTCATCGTATCTGATTTATCATCACGGGTTTATTACGAATCAACTTAACGGCCTGCTCCCAGTTGGCTTGTTAGCTCAATTGGTAGAGCGCTGCACTAGTATCGCAGAGGTCAGTGGTTCGAATCCCGTACAGGCCTGATTTTTTTCAGGTCTGATTTTCGCTATTGCATAAATAGCGCTCTCTACTGCGAGGATCGTGCATCATACGTATCTATAACCGCAGTTCAAAATATATGAACTTCATATATTCATCGTATCTGATTTATCATCACGGGTTTATTACGAATCAACCTAACGGCCTGCTCCCAGTTGGCTTGATTTTCGCTATTACAGAAATAGCGCTCTCTACTGCGAAGATCGTGCATCATATGTATCTATAATCGCAGTTCAAAATATATTAACTTCATATATTCATCGTATCTGATTTATCATCACGGGTTTATTACGAATCAACTTAACGGCCTGCTCCCAGTTGGCTTGTTAGCTCAATTGGTAGAGCGCTGCACTAGTATCGCAGAGGTCAGTGGTTCGAATCCCGTACAGGCCTGATTTTTTTCAGGTCTGATTTTCGCTATTGCGTAAATAGCGCTCTCTACTGCGAGGATCGTGCATCATAAATATCTAATACCGCAGTTCAAAATATATGAACTTCATATATTCATTGTATGTGGGCTACTACCGTTTATCACCTGGGAGAGGAGATAAGTTAAAATTATGGCGGCAAAAAGAACCTGGGGACTATGTGTCTCCTTTTAACTGTATTTCCGGTAATTTCGTTTCGTTTCGGTTGTTCTGGTTGTTTCAGTGATTTCGTTTCAGTTGTTTCGGAGGTTGCGGTGGTTCCGGCGGTTTCGTTTTGGTGTTTCGGGTTTTAGTACACGCCCATAAAATCATCTAACCTAGTACCGCAATTCTTTTTGTCAACGTTCCTTTGATTCTGGACACTATGTAATTACACGTGCGGTCAAAACAAACAGAGGGATTTTTCGTGTAATCTTTTCTTTTCTGTGATGGTCGCACACCACCTGGCAGCTTTAAATGAACTACTAGCAGATTGGATCGGAGATCTAAATCTAAGGGGTCCAAACCTGCTAAGACAGCGATTCATAAAAGTCACAAATAGCTAAAGCATCAGGCAAAATATGCTTTGGGAAAAACCTAATCCTAACACAAAAAACTCACACCTACTAAGGAAACGCCTTTAACATCAATGGCCTTCAGCCACCGACTGACAAACTAGTGATCTTCAGTTCTTATGATTTCCAAAGGGCTGCTTACCCCTTCTTGGTACTGCTTACTTCCTACCAAACAGTTTAGGTAGAAATTTCTTAAAAATATTTCCTTTTGTTTTAGTGTCTATCTCCAACTTCCTTCTTATTTCAAGGGCACGCTGTTCAGATCTAAGGGCTGAGGCATGATTACCAACACAGTGTTGTGTAAGTGCCAAAGAAAGGTAACTTTTAGCTGTTTCCGAGTGCTCTTCGCCAAGCAACTTGAGTCTTAAGTCCAGGGCTCGCCGATGAGACTCAAGAGCAGATTGATAATCACCTAAAGAATGTCGTGTGACCGCCACAGAATAGTAACTTTTAGCTGTATCTGGGTGTTCCTCGCCGAATAACTTTCGTCTTATGTCAAGGGCTCGCTGATGAGACTCAAGAGCTGATTGGTAATCACCTAAACTAACTCGACTGACCGNACGAAGAGGTCAAACCAGCGTAATGATTTAGCATCTAAACAGAGCTGGGATTTTCTTAATAACAATATTTGAATCATCTGAAAAACCAAATTAAAGGACAGGTAGCCGAAGTAACTCTGCGTGGATCTAGTCAGTTATGCCTAAGCATATCTCACTTTCAGAAAGGGACAAAAACCGTTCGAAAAACGACTATAATGACAGACCTTCTTCAGGCCAAAACTACATGAAAGGTTTTAAAAGTTACGAACAGAACAAGAGACACCCAGTTACATTTTGCAGTGTGTAAGTATCTTCTTCTATGTTCCTCCTCTGACAAAACTAACTCATCTAGTGTCAAACAACAACTACTACTTCAAAGAAACATTCCGAGATACGTTTCGCTGATTTTCAGGACACAAATTCCTCAAGTATTAAAAAAAACACCTTCGGAGTTTTAAACAGTGGGCTGGGGGAAAACATTAAACAAACTCTACGGAAACAAACTAAGATGAAACTAGATGACGCAAACATACCGCTACTACCAAGAAATTATAAAATAAACTCTTGCATCAGCGTATCCAAAGGTAACGTTCGGAGCTTTGACAGCTCTTTTAAACTTACAGTCGATAAAGTGGTGAGAGTCAAGACAAACTCTTCTAACCACGAGACATAGGAATGGTTATTAATCACACAGTCTGCTCTTTCTGTTGGACAGAGTCTGCCAAAATAAATTCTGAAAGTCTCGCAGGCCCTTTCGTCTACGATTTTTGTTTGACGACCATAAAGAAAAAAAGCTTGTTTTCAAGTTTATTCTTTAAAAAATTTGCTTTCCGAGCCCAAGATAATCTTAAGCTCTTTAAAGTTGGTAAATAAGCTCGCAGTGGTAAGAGTATGGCGTTGAAACCAAACTTAGACTCGTTCGATCGCAAC